CTGTAGTCGCATTCGTTACACTCGTAGGGCTTCTCTCCGGTGTGGGTGCGGAGGTGTGTCTGGAGACCTCCACTCGTGGCGCTCCTGTAGTCGCACTCGTTACACCCGTAAGGCTTCTCTCCGGTGTGGGTCCGGCCGTGGCTGACCAAGGAACTTTTGTAAGTAAATGTCTTGCGGCACACGTCACATTCATAGGGCTTCTCTCCTGTGTGGCTGCGGATGTGCTCGCCAAGTTGACTACGGCCAGGAAATTTCCTGTTGCACACAGAGCATTCATGTTTATAATGCTGTTCTCCAGTGTGGGTGCGGAGGTGAGAACGCAGATGGTTATCTTGCGCAAACTTCTTGTCACACAACACGCACTCAAAAGGCTTCTCTCCCGTGTGGCCGCGGAGGTGCACTTGCAGACCTTGACCGGACACAAACTTCTTGTCGCAGAGCGTGCATTCAAAGGACTTTTCTACTGTGTGGAAACGGCTGTGGCTGCGCAGCGAGCTTCTGTCTAGAAACTTTTTGTTGCACAAGTCACACTCGAATGTTCTCTGCCTCTGCCCTGTGTGCATACGAAGGTTGTGCGATTTCAGACCAGACCGGTCCGAGAATTTCTTGTCGCACAATGTACAAGCATAAAGCTTCTCTCCAGTGTGGGTACGTTCATGTAATCGGAGATGTGTTCCAGTGGAAAAACTCTTGCTGCAGACATCGCATTGATATGGCTTTTCTCCTGTGTGGGTTCGCAGATGAAGTCGCAATTGTGAACTTTGACTACATTTTAAGTTGCACAGAGAGCACTCGAAGGGCTTTTCTCCTGTGTGGGTTCTGATATGTTTGCGCAGGTCTCCAGTGCATCTGAATGACTTGTCGCACACCGTGCACCCGAAGGGCTTCTCCCCGGTGTGGGTGCGAAGGTGCATCTTGAGAGCTGAACTCGATTTGCTCCTGTAGTCGCACTCGTTGCACCCGTAAGGCTTCTCTCCGGTGTGGGTCCGACTGTGGGAGGCCAGGTGACTTTGACTAGAGAATCTCTTGTGGCACACGTTACATTCGTAGGGCTTTTCTCCTGTGTGAATGCGAACATGTTTTTCCAGATCACCGCTTTGCGAATATTTCTTATCACACATAGTGCACTCGAAAGGCTTTTCTCCGGTGTGGGTTCTCATGTGGAGGGCGAAATTTGCAGGTTTCTTGCCGCAAACATCGCATTGAGTCGGCATGGTGATATCTGTCAGAAATACCTGTAAAGGAAAAGATTTTAGATTTACTATGTCGACATTTAAAAACTCAGAATCACGCCAGGAACGTTAATTGGAATGACGTGGACAGGAAATGAGGAAGAGAGTTCTGAAACGCCCACGCACATGCACCCGTGAACGTCTACGTGCACGTGCACCCACAGCAATGTAACGCTATGCTGAAGCAATATACGCGGTGGCTGATTAACCCCATTCACTTCTGTACTTGTGCTGTACTGTAGTTCGCACGAGTGCGGGCTGGGCGTATTGCCCCTGCTTACGGCCCTTTACGAGCCGAGCGAGTAGGCGACCCGCCCGCACTCGTGCGTACGGTACAGCATCACTACAAAAGTGAGCGGGGTTAATCAGCCAGCTGGTATAACAACGCGTCACTGCAAAACTTGCTCTCACTGTCCGAGAGCGTGTGCCGTAACCGCGGTACTGCAAATTAAAAATCACCCCCCCCCCGCTCTAAACTTTACTCGAAAAAGTTGATAACTCGAATTGACACCCTGTCAAATGCTTTGACATCTGTTGATGATTGATGCAGTTGCAGTTTGAGAGAAGAACAAATACATACAGACGTTAAGGATAGATCCACAGCGCTGCCATTTCATAACTTTCGTAGATTTGTTGCGTAAAACATTTTTTTTTGTGTCACGTAAAAACTGGAGATTTTGCTGTTACCCAGCTACGCCCTCTTCCCGCTTCCTGGACCAACTTCAGAAGTGCGAGGGGCTTATCAGCCACCTGGTAGTTTGGAGCAGGGGTTTGGAATTGTAGGCACTAAGCCACCTTATCGCAGGGATCGTTACCTGAGGTCGGTTACTACTGTGGCGTCGCGGTCAGTCCGCGGCCAGGTCACGGAGCAGCCCTCGACAAACACGTCCCGCTCGCGCCGTGCCGCTCAGCCAACTAACTAACTCGAGGACTCGTCCAGGGTAACCCTGGCAGGGTTGCCAGAAGCCGAGCGAGTCAAGTCGCCCGAGCCGAGTGCGAAGTGCGCCCGAGTGGGCCCGGAGCCGTTCGACGAGTCACTCGTCGTCCTCGTCCTCCCCTCCTGCTGGTCGCCAGGATCCCGTCGTCCAGCCGCCCGCCCGCCCGTCGAGGCCGTGCCGGTGACCCCGGGAACCCCCCAGCCGCAGGGTCTGGAATGTCCCCACGGCGTTCGACGGGGCAGGGAGCGGAGGGGGCTGCTGAGTAATTGGATAAAGAACGCGCCGCTGAGGCCTGCTGCCCACGACAATCGGAATAATGTCCTAGAAAGTGGCGCGAGTGGAGATCCTCTCGCACGAAGCATATTCCCAGTGATTTAATAGTGAAGGTGACAATAAATGTGCCGCGGTCCAGAGGGTTCACCATCCCCTCCCCCTCCCCTCTCCGCCGTTTCCCCCCCATGCAGTCGGCCGGGTAGGCCGTCCACCGCTCCCCAAAGTTCCGAGGCCCCCGTCGACGCCCGCGAGTCCTTCCATCAGGCAGACTGGCAGACCGTTCCTTTTCTTGGTGCTCTTGGAGTAGACGTTCGCGCAGGGCACACCCGAAGGGCTCGACGCAATTGCAACGGGTTCGGCTTGCACCCTGATTGCACCCCCCCCCCCTTTTTCTTACCCGGGTCGAAATACACGTCATCCGGGCCTGAAGTGGCGTCGTGAAGCCCTCAGCTAATCTGGAAAATCAGTCAGGCAACCGTGCGACGCTAATAATTAGGCTGCAGCTTCTACAATGTAATCTTACAATAAACACTGCCAAAACAAATGTCAATATTTTACACATTTTTTAAGAGCGCGCTACAAACCACGGCCCGGCATCTAAAACAAATGCCTTCGAAAGTGAGCCATCATTTCGCTCGGGTCTGCTAAGGGGCCGTTCATAAATTACGTCACACTTTTTTGGGCTGTTTCTCGACCCCCCGCCCCCCTTTGTCACAATTAGTCACGATTTTGACTCACCCCCCCTCCCCCTGCTCTGCAATCTCAAGTGTGGGACAGTATGACAGTTTGAACTGTCAGCCCACTGTGTCTCACACTT